GAGTTAGGTACACCATTCGATCATGGCTGATATGCTTCTCAAACCCATTCTCCAGCCTTCTCTCCATAACCCTTGCTAATCAAGAACCTATCTATCTCTGTCTTAAAGGCAGTCAATTACTTGGCCTCCTGCAGCAATTAGTTCCACAGATTGAACATCTGGTGGAAGAAATCCCTTCTCATCTCAGCTCTAAAGGGTCATGCTTTCACTCCAAGCCTGTGCCCTCAGATCCTAGTGCTTCCTACTAGTAGAAACATCTTCTCCATATCAACTCTATCTCGGCTTCTCAGGTATTTTTAAAGTTTTAATTAGATACCCCCTCATCCTTACAAATGATGAGTGCAGACCCAGCGTCCTCAACTACTCCTCAAATAACATGCCCTTCAGTCCCAGGATCATTCTTGCAAAACATTTCTGGATCCCATCCAAGGCTATCACGTCCTTCCTAACATACAGGGCACAAAACTGCTCACAATATTCCAAATGTGGTCTGACCAAAGCATTATACAGCCTCAGCAGTACATCCCTGCTCTTATAACTTAAAAGGGTTCGAAAAGATTTACATGGATGTTACTAGTGTTGGAGGGTTTGATCTATAAGGAGAGGCTGAATATGGTGCGGCTATTTTCCCTGAAGCGTCAGAGGCTGAGGAGCGACCTTAAAGAAGTTTATAAAATCATGGGGGACGTAGAAAGGGTGAATAGTCAAGGTCTTTTCCTCAGGATGGGGGAGTCCAAAACTAGATGGCATAGAGGTGAGAGAGGATAGATTTAAAAGGGACCTAAGGGAAAATTTTTCACACAGAGGGTGGTGCATATATGGAACGAACTGCCAGAGGAAGTGGTGGAGCTTGGTACAATTACAACATTTAAAAGCATCTGGATGGGTATATGAAACAGAAACGTTTAGAGAGATATGGGCTAAATGCTGGCAAATGGGACGAGATTAATTTGGGATATCTGGTTGGCCTAGATGAGTTACACCGAAGGGTCTGTTTCTGTGCCGTACATCTCTATGACTCTATATTCTAGCCTCTTAGAATGAAAACAAACATTGATTTGCCTTTCTGACTGATCACTGCATGTTAACCTTAAGAGGACTCGGGCTCCTAAGTCCCTTTGTGCTTCAAATTCTGAAGCCTTTCCCCATTTAGAAAACAATCTATGCCTCTATTTATCCTACTAAAGTGCATAACTTCATACTCTACAACATTGTATTCCATCTGCCACTTCTTTGCCCATTCTCCTAGCCTGCCCAAGGCCTTCCACAGCCTCCCCATCTTTTCAACACTACCTGTCCTTCACCTGTCTTTGTGTCATCTGCAAACTTAGCAATAGTGCCCTCAGTTCCTTCGTCCAGATTGTTAATATATAAAGTTGTGGACCCACCATTGACTCCTGTGGAACTTCACTAGTCAGTGGCTGCCATCAACAGAAAAATACCTATTTATCCCCACTTAGAGATAGTAAGAACTGTCAATGCTGGAGTCAGAGAACACTGTGTGGAGCTGGAAGAATACAGCAGGACAGGCAGCATCAGAGGAGTAGGAAAGTTGATGTTTCAGGTCAGGACACTTCCTCAGAAATGGAGGAGGGGGAAGGGAGCTCCAAAATAAATAGGGTGAGGAGGGGTGGGGCTGGGGAAGGTAGGTGGGATGGTGATAGATGAGTGCAGGTAGGCAGTGGTGGCGATTGGTCAATGAGGTGGGAGGAGCGGATAGGTGGGAGAGAAGATGGACAGGTTGTGTCAGGTCAAGGAGGCGGGGATGAGAGGGCGGGTTGGTCATTGGACGAGGCCAGGGGTGGGAAGATTTTGAAACTGGTAAAGTCCACATCGAGACCATTGGGTTATACGCTCCCAAGGCGGAATATAAGGTGTTGCTCCTCTAGTTTCCAGGTGGCATCGTTGTGACACTGGAGGAGGGCCAGGATGGACATGTTGCCCAGGGAGTGTGAGGGGGAGTTGAAATGGTTTGCGACTAGAAGGTGTTGTTGTTTGTCACGAACAGAGCACAGATGCTGTACAAAGCGGTCTCCAAGCCTCCAATTGGTCTCACCGATTTATCCCCACTCTCTGCTTTTTGCTAGTCAGCCAATCCTCTATCTATGCTAGTACCTGTATCCTGTTCCACCCTAGCATTTTGATTTTGGAGGAATATCCTTGCACCATTTGGGATCACCAATTGCATCAATGGTCAATGCTTTTCTTCTCAGCACTTGTCCATCAAACCTCTTCAATGCAATCTTAGTCTCATATGATGTTCAGCAATCCAGTCATTGACCTGGCCATTATCAGAAGGTATGGTGAGCCCTAGAAGTTGATCAATGTGAAGGACTGGTACGTATCCAAAGAGATAGTGCAGCGAATTGCCTGTAGATGATTACAGGCTGCTATTAAAATCATAAGCCAGCTTCAGAAGTTATTCAAGCCTCTTTGTTTACTCTCAGGAGGCAAGGTATGCAGACAGTCATGCAGAGTACATTTGAGTCACATTGCTCATTATCCTACTGATGATAAGCAGTCCTTGGCAATACCACAGATCTTGCAAAGCTCCTGTAGGATCTTACTCTCAAATTTGCACCCTGATCCCTGTGAATCACATTGACAAACTAATCAGTAAAAACTACTAACATTCTGGCTACAGTTAAGGTCAATTGAATATGGGTGGGAATGGCATGTGTGAACTTGGTAAAGACATCCATGTTTACAAGAATGTGATTGCTCCCATTACTGCTGGAATGAAGCACCATAAAATCCATCCCAAGGACCTTCAGAGGTCATTCTTTGCAACTAAGGATCACTGGAGTGATCAAAGCAAGTTCCCTGCTTTGTCCAAAATACAGTTTCAACAGTAGTCATCAATATCAGCAGTTTCCCAGCCAGTAACACCGCTCTCTGGTCAGGGCAGTCATCTTTTCCATAACTTGTTGTCCTCCTTGATCAGAACTGCTACCAAAACATGACATTTGAAGCCATGGGAAGGATGAGTTTTTCATTCTCTGGCTTTTTGTCATGTACTAATTGATGTAAGATTCCGACCTCCTCCTTGATCCTTTTCGAGCAGCTGCACAGTTTTGATGACTGTTTGGAGTCCCTCGTCAGCTGGCACCAAGTTGGTAGATGTTGGGCCTTTTACTAATAGTGTAGTCTACTGTTGTTCATGTCAGTCAGATGAAGCTTTCTGAGGTTCTCTTTCCAGATAGATGCCAAAAGTGAAACCATACTTGATTCCATGCCTCTGGAGCTGGTTTTGATCTCATATGTATATTGGTGACACTCTGCTGCACTTAGACGAACATCAAAGGGAAATGGGGCCAGTGTGTTGCCTTTGACTCAGGGCATTGGCATAACATCAGCCACAGCCTCCTCCAACTATGTAGGGGTGAGTTCCCTCCCATGGTCAGTCTTCTGACTAAGAGCATCAGCGTGTGCATTACTTTGTCCTGACATTTACCGGATCATTGAGTCTCTGTTGCTCCAAATTTGGCTGACATTTGAAAGTAGCTGAGTGGATTGTTATCTGTAAACAGTTCAAACTCTGCACCAATTAGAAGGTCTCAGAACTTCTGGCAAATAGCTCAGCTCACAGTTCGAATTACATACTGGAGCATTTCCCATTACTCTTTTCATTTGGCTTGAGACTCCGATTTGCACAAGTGATTCCTGGACTTATCTGCCCCTGAACCTGTGGCACCACTGCTCACAGTCAAGGAAACTTAAGTGATTTTCCAGTACGAAAAGGAGCTGGAAAGCCAGGTGGCCAAAGACAGGTGATCAGATAAGACTCTGCTTGAGAAAGCAAAGGGAATCTTCACATACTTGAGTGAAATTGCCTGCAATGCTCCCTGAAGTATCAATCCTTGTACATCATTTCTGACCAATTTTTTCAGCTGCTTGATCAATGATTTTCCCTCCATCATAAGATCAACATGGAGATGTTTCCCAATAACTGCACAATATTCAGCACCATTCATGAGTCCTCAGATACTGAAGTAGTCCATGTCCAAATGCAACAACAAGAACTGGACAAGATCCAGGCTTGGGCTAAAAAGTGGCAACATTTGCACCACACAAATGCCAAGAAATGACCATGTCCAATAAGAGACAATCTAACCATTGTCCTTTGACATTCAATGGTGTTACCATCACTGAAGATGCCACTATCAACAGCCTATGGATTACCATTGACCGGAAACTGAACTGGACTTGCCAGATAGATACAGTGACTGCAAGAGCAGGTCAGAGGTTATGAATACTGCCTACCTCCTGATTCCTCAGAACTGGTCGACCATCTACAAGAGATAATAATGTGTAGAGCGGGATGAACACAGCAGGCCAAGCAGCCTCAGAGGAGCAGGAAGGCTGACATTTCGGGCCTAGACCCTTCTTCAGAAAGGGTCTTTTCTGAAGAAAATGCCCTTCTTTTCTGAAGAAGGGTCTAGGCCCGAAATGTCAGCCTTCCTGCTCCTCTGATGCTGCTTGTGCTTGGCCTGCTGTGTTCATCCAGCTCCACACCTTGTTATCTCAGATTCTCCAGCATCTGCAGTTCCTACTATCTCTGAGACCATCTACAAGACACAAGTCAGAGTGTAATGGAATGCTCTCGACTTGGCTTCGATGGGGGTAGGTCCAATAACACTAAAGCATTTTGACACAATCCAGGCAGGACAAAACAACCTACTTTATAGAGACAACATCCTCAAACATCATGTCTTCCTACCCTACTTCTTATTCCACCCCAAACCCGCCCAAAGCCCTTAACCCCACCTACACAGCCCTTTGTTCCACCCACGCAGCGCCTAGCCACAACCACGTGTCCTTTAGTCCCACCCATACAGCCCGTAGCCCCACCCACAAAGATTTTGATCCCATTCATTCAGCCATTAGCCCCGCCCCCGCTCTCCACCGCTCCACTCAGAGCTGCCGCCAGCGCAGGTCTCGAGCCCCTCCCTCCTCGTCCGGGCTCTCGCCCGCGCCGCCGCACCCAGGGTTGTACTGCGCAGGCGCCATGCTTCGGTGGGCGGTTGTCCGCTGTTGAGGTGAAAGGCGGGAGAAGAGTTCAGTTGTCAGCCGCCGGTTACTGTGAGTACGAAAAACCGACCTAGAAACTCACACGGCCCTTACTTTAGAAAACGAAATATTTTAAAGAGTGCCACACAGGCGGAGGACAACCAGACGGACGATCGAGTCAATGAATTCGACTGTAAAGGAGGAGATCATTCGGGCCATCGAACTCATGCCAGCTCTTTCAAAGACCTACGGAATGAATGCCCCCTCTCCTCTGCTGTTTCAATCTGTTCTCCCCACAAAGTCAAGAATCAGTTTCCTTTTCCCAAGTTCCCGCTATCCCGTTCTAGTTATTTTGAAAGTCACTATTGAGTCTGTTTTCGGCCTTTCAAGCAATCCGTCTAGAGCACCACAACTGACGAGACCACAGAGCGGTTAAGTCACAGATTTGTCACGGTGCAGAACGAGGCCATTCAGCCCAACGTTTCTGTGCTGGCTCTCTGAATAAGGATCGTGGCGTACTGTCAATCTCTCGCCCGTTCCCCATAACCTTCCTCATTACGTTTCTTGAGGTGCTTTTTTGAATGCCTCGATTGAACCTGCATCCACCACACTTCGAAGCAGTGCATTCCAGACTCAAAACACTCACATCGTCTTAACGTCTTTTGCAAATCACTTCAAATCTGTGCCCCCTCATCCTTTTACAAGTGAGAAGACATTCTCTGTCCATGCCTCCCATCGTTTTACATAAGAACTAGGAGCAGGAGTAGGCCATCTGGCCCCTCGAGCCTGCCCTGCCATTCAATAAGATCACAGCTGATCTTTTTGAGATGCAGCTCCACTTACCCGCCCACTCACCATAACCCTTAATTCCTTTACTGTTCAAAAATTTATCGAGCCTTGCCTTAAAAACATTCAGTGAGGTAGCTTCAACTGCTTCCCTGGGCAGGGAATTCCTCAGATTCACAACCCTTTGGGTGAAGAAGTTCCTCCTGACCTCAGTCCTACATCTGCTTCCCTTTATTTTGAGGCAATGCCCTCTAGTCCTAGTTTCACCTGCTAGCGGAAACAACCTCCCTGCCTCCACCTTATCTATTCCCTTCATAATCTTATATGTTTCTATAAGATCTCCCCTCATTCGTCTGAATTCTAATGAGTATAATCCCAGTCTACTCAGTCTCTCCTCATAATCCAACCCTCTCATCTCTGGAATCAACCGAGTGAATCTCCTCTGCACCCCCTCCAGTGCTAGTATATCTCTTCTCAAGTAAAGAGACCAAAACTGCACACAGCACTCCAGGTGTGGCCTCACCAGGACTCTCTACAGCTGCAGCATAGCCTCCCTGTTTTTAAACTCCATCCCTCTAGCAATGGCAGACAAAATTCCATTTGCCTTTTTAATTACCTGCTGCACCTGCAATCCTTTTAGCGATTCATGCACAAGGACACCCAAGTCCCTCTGCACAGCAGCGTGCTGCAATTTTTTACCATTTAAAACATAGTCCATTTTCCTGTTATTCCTACCAAAATGGATGACCTCACACTTATCTACATTGTACTCCATCTGCCAGACCTTTGCCCACTCACTTAGACTATCTATTATCCCTCTGCAGACTTTCAGTGTCTTCTGCACACTTTGCTCTACCACTCACCTTAGTGTCATCTGCAAATTTTGACACACCACACTTAGTCCCCAGCTCCAAATCATCTATGTAAATTGTAAACAATTGCGGTCCCAACACTGATCCCTGAGGCACACCACTAGCCACTGACCGCCATTTACCCCTACTCTTTGCTTTCTACTGGTCAACCAATCCTCTATCCATGCCAATACATTACCTGTAATACCGTGGAACTTTATCTTATGTAGCAGCGTTTGGTGTGGCACCTTGTCAAATGCCTTCTGGAAATCCAGATACACCACATCCACAGGTTCCCCATTGTCCACCATGCAAGTAATGTCCTCAAAGAATTCCACCAAATTAGTTAAACATGACCTACCCTTCATGAACCCATCCTGGCTGTTTCCAATGGGACAATTTATATCCAGATGTCTTGCTATTTCTTCCTTAATGATAGATTCAAGCATTTTCCCCACTACCGAAGTTAAGCTAACTGGCCTATAGTTGCCTGCTTTTTGTCTACTTCCTTTTTTAAACAGTGGCGTCACATTGGCTGTTTTCCAATCTGCGGGAACCACCCAGAGTCCAGTGAATTTTGGTAAATAAGTACTAGTGCATTTGCTATTTCCCCCATCACCCCTTTTAGTACCCTGGGATGCATTTCATCAGGGCCAGGAGACTTGTCTACCTTTAGCCCCATTAGCTTGCCCAGCACTGCCTCCTTAGTGATAATGATAGTTTCTAGGACCTCGCCTGCAATAAACTTCTTGCCATTAGTTTTCGGCATGTTATTTGTGTCTTCCGCTGTGAAGACTGACACGAAATAACTGTTTAATGTCTCGGCTATTTTCTCATTCCCAGTTATTAAATTGGCCTTCTCGTCCTCTAAAGGACCAATGTTTACCTTCGCCACTCTTTTACGATTTACATATTTATAGAAACTTTTGCTGCCTGTTTTTATATTCTGAGCTAGTTTACTCTCATAATCTATCTTATTTTTCTTTATAACTTTTTTTGTGGCTTTCTGTTGGCCTTTAAAGATTTCCCAGTCTACAAGTTTCCCACTACTCTTTGCTTTTTAGTATGTGTTTTTTTTCAATCTGATACTTTCCTTTATTTCCTTAGACATCCATGGCTGGCTCTCTCTTTACCTACACTTCTTCCTTATTACTGGAATATACTTCTGCTGAGCACTGTGAAAAATCATTTTGAAAGTCCTCCACTGTTCCTCAATTGACTCACCATAAAGTTTTTGCTCCCATTCTACCTTAGCTAACTCCTCCCTCATTCCTTCATAGTCTCCTTTGTTTAAGCACAGGACATAAGTACTGGATTTAACCTTCTCACGCTCCATCTGTATTTTAAATTCGACCATACTGTGATCGCTCCTTCCGATAGGATCCCTAACTGTGAGATCATTAATTATTTCTGTCTCATTACACAGGACTAGATCTAGGATAGCTTGCTTTGAAGCACAGAAGCCTTTGTGTCCATGTTAGTTCTCAATAATTCTGCTAGTCCCATGTCTCCATCCTTACCGTCTACTCATGTACCATTTTAATCCCCGGGTGCCTACCCAATTCCCTTTAGAAAAATGCAACTGAATTTGCCTCCTGCTGCTCATGAAGTGCATTCCAGATACCGACGACTCGCTAAAATAAAATGTTCTTATGTCTGAGTTTTCAAAAAGATAGTCTCCCGCCTTCCATCTGGCTTTTTCTTTGCCGGTAATTTTAAGGAGCTTCACTACTTGGTCAGAGTTACAGTAAATCTGCTTTTATTGTTTACACAGCTGGTGAAGCACTTTCTATCCAAGGATTTCTTGTTGAAGTATTTGAACAGTAGCCCTGGTAGTTCTGCGGACACCCAGTGGGTTTTTCAAGAATATTTCAAAAAGTGAGGCAGTTAATGAAGTTACAGAGAACAGCATAATAGTGTCTTGTCGACTTTTCCACTCGTAATGGGATTGTACATTAGACCCATTCTACGTCTGGAATGGTAGAAACTGAGAGCAGATGTGCTTTATGGGTGGGGTGAGGATATGGAGGGGTTTGAAATTGAAGACGAGCATTTTGATGTAAATACGATAGCAAACAAGTCAATGGAAAGCAGTAACTAATCAATATGCAAGATTTTGGGTAAAATAAGGGTAGCAGAGAACTGGGTGATTTAGAACATTTGTGGACTGACACAAGTTAGAGAAGCTACAAAAAGCCCAAAAAGGATACCCTGAGGTATAAAAATATTCAGATTTTGTTTGTGAGGATGTATTGCAATCATTAAACTTAAAAATAGGAACGTTAATTGTCTATATATTAAATAAGAGGAAACAGATCCAAGTGCTTACTATCAACAAATCTTTGATCCTCAAAGTGCTTATTAAAATGAGTGATTTTGAACCATCCTCGTTAAAATGACATACTTTTCCATAAACGTTCAGTTATTCTTCCGTATTGGAGTCATTTACTATTAATATATGCTTATAAATAATTTCTAGAGGTTTGAGTACAATGTTTAAAAGGTGCATACTGTATCAGTCTCACTTCTAAGCACACTCCATGAATTAAATACAAGTCTGTGCTTACATACAACTAACAGTTATGTATGTTGTAGACTTTAAGATACCTCATGATTCCAGCTACACTGCAGTATTGGCAACAACATCAAAGTGAAAGACGCTAGATTACTGAATCAAAACATGAGAAGAATATTTAAACTGATTGGTAAGTATGCTTTTCAAGAATTGAACCAGAAGCTCTGAACAATATGTACTTAAGCCTGTGATTATATGAGAAAGGAGTTACTTTAGTGATTTGGGAATCAATGTTGCACTGTCAATGTCTCACCAAGCATTAGGTGGCAGTAGTATACAAAACAGAAGCACAAGAAGAGGAGGAAATTATAACACCATTGAAGAGTGACCAGGATCAACTACCAACAGAATTCAATCTCTAAAATAGCATATCATTGCTAATGTGTGTGCTTAGAATTCTTACTTGTATGTTTTTCTATTGTTTCTTTAACATAGATGATTTATTGCAAACGTTTTCAGAAATTTCATTTTGATTTTCCATATTAGTCTCATTTACTACTTTTAGAAAAATGATTCATTGTTCAAGTCAGCTCTGTTTGGGATAAATGAGCACAGTCACAATTGATGATTTAAAACAAAGACTGTTAAATACTTCACTGTATCTTTACTTTGGACAGTGTGCTGGGTACAGGAATTCTGCTTTGACTTGAAAACAAATCTTCAGTTGTATTGTTTATGTAAGTTTGAATCTTACTACCAATAAAATCAGCAGATCCAAAAACCTCATGTTCAAGGGAACTCTGGGCTTTAAGATCTTCTTTACCAAATAAGTGAGTTTGCACTTGTGGAGATGGTGGCATATTGGTAATGTCACAGGACAAATAGCCCGGAGGCCCAGGCTTATGCCCTGGGGCACGATTTCAAAGCTCACAATTCAAGTAATAAATCTGGAATTGAAGCTACAGTAGTCATCAGTAACGGTCAACCTTGAAGCTACAATCGATTGTCATAAAAACTTCTCTGATTCATTAATTTCCTTTAGGAATGAAATATGACATTGTTAGCTGGTCTGACCTGCATGGGATTGTCCAGACCCAAAGCCATGGTTGATTTTTAAGTTGATTTCTGAAATAGCAAATCACTCAGTTTGAGGATAATTAGGAATTAGCAACAAACGCTGGCCTTGCCAGTGACACTCTCAGTGCAGAAAAAATAAAAAGGTGCTTTTTTTAATTAAACCATTACTTCCTAACTATTTTAGTTGGATGGCATTAAGGAAAACAAAAGGATTCTATTTCAGCTTTGGAGGGGTGAGTTTTCATCGGCTGGAAATCTGAATCACATTAGGAACTGATTTGTTCTAAGAGATACTGTCGATGGAGATGTCAACCTGCCTCTTTTACTGTATAATTTCATATAGATTACAATCTTACAACAAACATAAACTGGAACAGTACAATAGCTCTGTTAATCATGAAGTGATGCGTGAACAGGGCTTGAGTTAGGACACAATATCAGATGACCTCATCTTTGTAAAGGATAGAATGTGGGAGGCCAACCATGAGTGTGTTAAAATAAGCAAGAAATAACACATATGAAGGAGGATTGCAGCAGTTGATAACTAGCAACATTTTGGAGATCGAAAAGGGTAGTCTTGGTAATAATATAAATTTATGGGAGGAATGTCAGCTTGAGATCAAATAAAATACTGAGATTATGAACAGCCTAGTTTAGTGACAGTTACCGTCATGGCCCTGAATTTTCATAAAGAATGAGAGGTTCCCCAGATTAGTCAAAATGGCAGCAGAGCATCAATTCATGAAGTGTCAAAACCCTTATCCACCTTTTTCATGGGACAGGCAGAGCTGGGGGCTGGTAGTGACATTGTGTATTGTATATACTTATTTCACAAAGCCAACAACACATGTTAAAGTGGATCTTCCTTCAATCAGATCCAATTCTTGTGAGTGGGACATCCAAAATACGAGTTGTGAGCTTTAGAGCTTTTAGCAATAGGTCTAAAGATGCTTGTGTTCTTTGAAGAGGCAGGGTACCCTTTTGGAGAGGTGGGGTATAGTATTGCATAGGCTCAGGACACCTTAAGGAGCAGTCAGGAGCCCTCTTAGACTATTGAAAGTGGACATAAATGCGCGTAAGAGTTACGTAAACTCATCGGAAGAATCATGCTGATTGGAATGTCATGTTAAAGACACTGTGTCGCACTCGAAAGAACTGTGAAGCTGTCAAGATATTTAAATCTCCAGGCCTTTAAGTTTTTAAAAAAAACTGAATAAAAATAAAATTATTTCACACTGTCTGTTGACATCAGCCTGAGGGTTACCATTATAGAATTTGTTCTATATGACTGATTCTCAACCTTTCATCATGGATTTATGCCTGTCAGTTCACAGTTTGACAGCTCCAAGCGCTTGTAAACAATTTGAATCAATGTTTGTTTTTGTAAGGAATTAAGTAGGAAGGAAATTAAATACAGAAGGACAAACAGAGTAAAACTTGGAAATGATGCATATTGATCTGATTTGATTTGTTTACCTCAGAACACAGCTCCAGTACAACCAGTATATTAATTTTCATGAGCTACTTTTTTTTTTACTGGCCTTTCCTTCTTGATTAAGGTTTTTAATCCATTAGGGTTTTGTTAAATAATAGATTTATCAATAGATATTCAAAGAACTTTATTTCATCTCAGTGTGGGTCCTGTGGTTTGCCCATGCAGGATACTGGGTGACCTGAATTACACAGAGGTGTAAGGATAAAGCGTGTCATCGGATGGCATTAAGGTAGCATAAGGACTATGAAGGGCTTTGGGGGTTGGGGAGAGGAGATTTGGTTATCATTGGAAATCGTGAGGGGCCAAGGGAAAGGAGGTGTTCAGTGGAGGTGCATGGATTGCCTTGGATGGAACATCAAAAATACATCAGGGCTGAAGGCTGGTATGTTGAGGTTTTCATAGCTGAGGTAAAATAGGAGAGTACCAAGGCTGACCTTTCAGACAGCCTGCCTCTGTATACTGTTCGAACCCTTGGTGATTTTTCATTACTGTTATTTTCATTCTTTTATCAATGTTGGTTTGGAGCTGTGAAGTAGAAATTGTGAGCTGAAGATAACCTTTGGGCTTCGGAAAACAGTTTGTGGTAAAAGGAAAAGAATAAACTAATAAAAACCAAAAGAACTGTGGATACTGGAAATCAGAAACAAAAACAGAAATTGCTGGAAAATGGTCAGCAAGTCTGGCAACATCTGTGTAGAGAAATCAGAGTTAATGTTTTGGGTCCGTGACCTTCCTCAGAACTTTTGCATGTTGCATATTTGTGAGGCCAAGCTAGGAGGTTAATTGCAGGCTGAGTCTTAATTAAAACGGTTTTTACATACACAGCAACCCTGGTAAAGTACTGTATGTAAACAGACAGGAGAAGTTGGCTATTAATGAGGTTAAAACCTGGGAACTAGTTCCAGTGAACAGGGGAAAGATCCTATTTTTAAGCAGGTGGCAGATGTTGAATGGTAATTAAGGCCTCAGAAAAGAATGGTCAGTCTATCAGGGAGAGACCAGAGTTGGAGTTGTATTTTTAACTGTGTTTCTGGGATAAGAGTGTTAGCTGGTGATGACACAGCAGGAAGATTTTGAAAGCTTCCTGCCAAGCCTCCCTTACCAGCTTTTGGAAACCCAGGCTGAATTAGAAATACTGCTGCCTTTGAGTGAACTGAAAAGATGACCCTGACCAATGTCTCCAGAAAAGCAGCCAAGAAGTCCACATCTATGCCTGTGAAATAACACTTCTTAAAAAACATTCAAGTAGTCTGGCTAGTTTTGTTATTTTCTATTTATTTATCCCTTAACTGTGTTTGTATGTCTGTCTTTTGTGTGAATGGGGGCTGAAAACAAATATTTCAGGTTTAAAGCATAGACATTAATTAGATTACTTTGTTGTTTTTTTTTCTCTGCTAAGGTTATTGTATATTTAAGAAATAGTTAAATCTTTTGTTTAAGATTTTTAAAAAACTGTCTGCAATTAATTATTCACAAAATCTGTGATTGGTTCTTCAAAAATATGCTTAGGAGCCATTAGAGTAACTATTGCAGGGTTTTGAAGGTTTTAATTTTACTGTGTTGCAAATGCAGACATTGAAAGGCTGTTTTGGTTTGGCTGGCTCTCTCTGTGTCATAACATAATTGGGACCTTAAGTCCTGGAGCTTGAAACGCTCACAATGTAGGTCTGGAATTGGAATTTGGTACCTTGAGTGGGTAGTCAGACACCAGGTTTGGTGTTTATACCAATCTTAACCTAACAAATCCCATAAGCTTTCATTTATTTTTCCTTCACCCACCTAAAATGGGTATATTACTGTGCCAAAGGTGCATGTCACACTACTCTTTTGTAGATCGAGTTGTCAGACAAGAAACACCTGAAAATTTTCAGGTTTCCATGCTGCTGACAAGCATCCTTGGGAGAGGGCTTTAATCTAATTAGAGGTGGGGAGGGGTGGTTGGGAGAGGGGAAATATAGGCTTACAAAGCAAGAGGATACAGTCACACTGTAGGGTAGATATTTGGAGAATGTTACCCAGAGTGGGACAGGAAACAGTGACCATTACATGGTTAAATTTAGCATTCAGTTTGAGGGGGAGGAACTTTGGTTGTAAACAACTGTATTAAGCTTAAATAGGGGCAATTACAAAGGAATGAGGGCAGATCTGGCTGGGGTGCACTAAAAAAGGAGTTTAGCAGCAAAGCTAGTTGAGGTACAGTGGCAGATGTTTAAGAAAGCAGTTAATAGAAAAATACGTCCTAATGAGAAAGAAGAATTCTAGCAAGGGGATAAGCCAGCCACGGTTAACCAGAGAAGTTCAGGATAGCAATGAGTTGAAAAAAAACGTACAATTTGGCTAAGATTAGTGTTAAGACAGAATACTGGCAAAGTTTTAAAAACCAACAAAAGATGACAAAAAAGTTATCAAAATGGAGAAGATAAACTTTGAAGTGAAACGTGCAAGCAGTATCTGTAGTTATTGTAACGAGGTCAGCCAGGTGAAATCTCATAGAATCTGAGTTCACTAATTGGGTCTGTTAATCTGGTCCAATCAGGGACCCCTGGCTGACAGACATAAACAGAAGTGTCAGAGGTTGTGTTCATCCTGAGGCAGCTGGACCAGTGTCAAGGACTCTTCACATGTAAATAAAGGGTGACTAGGTCATGCAACACCAGCCTCTATAGAATTATTTCAGTGTCAACAAGAGAAAAAAAAAACGCTCCTGAAGAAATTTGCTGACAACAATCATCCTTGAGTTGGGGTAAGCATTTCTGGCATCATGCCATTTTTTGGGAACCATGACTCATTCGATCCTGCCATCAAGGACTGGGCCCAGTATGTGGAAAGAATGCATTATCTTTTGCGGGCAAATTACATTGGGGCAGATGAAAAGCAACGAGAAATTCTCC